TGTTCCTATCTACAGAGTATTAAGATTACAGGTGTGTACAGACAGTCTATTTCAGGATGCTAGGTAAGCACTCTACCAACTGAACTACATCCCTAGCATCAAGATAAGCTTTTATCTGCAGCACATGAATTAAGTTACACAAAAGGATTTCCTGAAGACATGGCGGTTACAGAGGCCCATTTGGAGGCCCTTACCAACACTGGATCTCACACTGCACATGGATCTGGCCTCCCAAAGCACCTTCATCAGCTGTACTCTGTTATTCTAACGTAAATGGTTGTACAAGCACCGATGATGCCTGCTCCATCCTTATTGTCCCCTCTAGCTCCTCCTTCCTCTAGTTTTTCTGACAATACCCTACTAATATCAAGCCAAGTCAACCAGTGGAATAAGAAACAGCAGGAAGAACCTAGATGAGAAGCCTAACCTGCCTTGGCTTCCTCACATAGGTGGGCAGCTACACTCACAACCTGCAACTCAGGCAGGACCTGGCTTTCCAGGGTCTGCTTTTCTTCGGGTAGAGGCCTCCTCCACCCCTTCTGACCACGTGATGGCTCCTCTAGACCTTTGATATAATTTATACCTTGCCAGGGACTAACTCTTTCCCACCACTGTGACAGAGAGGGAAAAAAATATATAAATAAGTATGTCGGAAATCTATAACGAGGTCTTCTTGGAGGGCAAGACATGGGAAGAGTTAGAAGCAGCGTCAATTACTCTTTAGGGGTTTTAGTTCAAGCTAAGGTCTGCTTCTAGCAATCAACCATTAAAACAAGCCGGCCAGAGTAACAGCACAGTTTATTCTGATCATTTAATTTGAAGTGTCAATAAATTAAACTTCAATCAATTAAACTAGGTGTGCAATAACCCAGATGGACACTCTGACACCAACATAATCACAATAAAAATTTTTATGGCTGCCAGGGACCTCACCGGGGGCAGTGCTGGCACTGCTCAAGCCCTGGCTGAGAAATATATCTCCACAGCACAGGAACAAGGAGATTGCTTCTCCTAACGAAATGGAGGGCCAAGCACCAGCAAGGACACAGCTGGGAGTGGGGCACAGGGGACTGCCAGGAACGAGATGGGAGTGCTTTGGGGGCTTAATGTAATTGATACCTTTGCCCAAAGCAGGGGGAGGGGGCATTTAGGCCAACTATCTCTGTTAGTGCCAAAAGAATTTAACAAAAGCCCCATTAAGATGATTCAGGAAGCAAGGGCCACGAGCCGGCATCAACCTTTGAGTCACTCATGTGTTCACAACCCCCTCCTCCAGACACATATGCATCCCAGTGCACTTTAGAGGGCCTGATATTTGAATGGGACGTGGAAATCAGAATTTTGTCAGTTTAAGGATAAAATATTAAGGGAACACAATGAACAGAATTGAAGACTAATCTGTAAGACACTGGGAAAGCATTCTAAAATTAAAACCTGGAAATAGGAAGAAAAAAAATCGATGTACAAAGGTTTTAAGGATCTGAACTACTACAGTAATTCAGCTTTGAGGGTGAAAAAAAAAAAAGCAAAGGCTGAAGGAAAGTGTAAGTTATTAACTTTAAGATTCCAAATTATAAATGGAGAATGGCAACCACAGACTCCTGTCCACTAACTGAGAAGAGAAGAGACGGCAGACACAGCAGCAGAGGAGGCTGAGGCCAGGACAGGCTGGGAGCTGAGACAAAGGACTGAGGAAGATTACACAAATTCGGTCATGAGCTAAGGCAGGGATGACTCTTTAAAAGATTTATTTTATGTATATGGCTGATTTTGCCTGTCGATGTGTGTATCACCTGCATGCCTAAAGCCTAAAGTTAGAAGGTGTGTGTGTATGTATGTACGTATGTATACATGCACACATACACAGGAAGTTTGGGGGTTATTGTTTGGTTAGTTTTTTGAGACAAGATTTCTCTGTGTAGACCAGGATGGCCTCAAACTCACAGAGATCCACTTGCCTGCCTCCCAAGTACTGGACCTAAGATAGGTACCCCTAAGTACCAGTAGGTATTTTATCCTCAACAAAAACTGTATACAACTGATCACTGAAAGGAAATTCTGCACAATGAAGGAGTGTAAGAACCTACAGAAATATCAGAGAGAAACTTGGTGAGAAACTAGGAGATTACAAATCCAAGTTCGGCTTTGGCTACATATTGAGAGTGTTTCAAAAAACAGAGATTTGTTCTGGGAGAACAAAAAAGCAAAGTAGAATGGAGCTTTTGTACCAGGCTGCACTGGAAAGTACGCTAGTGGCAAAGACTCAATAAAGGTAAGGACCAGGCAGTGGCACACACCTAGGCAGAGGCAAGCAGAGCTGTGAATTCAAGGCCAGCCTGGTCTACTGAGTGAATTCCAGGACAACCAAGGCTGTTACACAGAGAAATCCTGTCCCAGAAAAAAACAAAACAAAAAAGTAAAGGTAAGGGGCGTCCAACAAGTTAGCAAGGACCTGTTACTAGGTGTAGTCGGTCAGCTCAGGTTAAAGTGGAAGGATGAGGAAGGAGCAGGGGCAGAGAAGGAAGAGAAACAACTCTCCTGGTGCTGGGGGCAGCAAGAGCGTGTGCTCTACCATTGCACTACACCCAGCCCAACAGAACCAACAGGAAAAGAAACCCTCAAGTATCACCTTCCTTGCTCTTTTTGCTTGTTTTTCTTTTTCAAGATAGGGTTTCTCTGTGTTGACCGAGTTGACCTGGAATTCGCTATGTAGACCAGGCTGCCTCAAACTCTAAGATCCACCTGCCTCCACCTCCTGGGTTCTGAGATTAAAGGTGTGTACCATCACCACCCAGCACCGTCCTCATTCTTTAAGCTAGTTCTACTAAATTAATTTTGGTTGTTGGGTTTTTTGTTTGTTTGTTTTTCGAAACAGGGTTTCTATGTACTGGCTGCCCCGGACCAGGCTGACTGCAAACTCACAGAGATCCTCCTGTTTCTACCTCCTGAATTAAAGGTGTGTGTCACCAACACCCGGCTAATTTTGGTTTTATAAGACAAGATCTTATTCTGGGGGCTGGAGAGATGGCTCAGAGGTTAAGAGCACTGACTGTTCTTCTAGAGGTCCTGAGTTCAATTCCCAGCAACCACATGGTGGCTCACAACCATCTGTAATGAGATCTGGTGCCCTCTTCTGGCCTGCAGGCATACATGGAGGCAGAACACTGTATACACAGTATATAAATAAATCTTAAAAAAAATAAAAAAATCAATAAAAATAAATAAATTTAAAAAAGATCTTATTCTGTAGCCTAGGCTGGCCTCAAACTAGCAGCAAAACAGCTTCAGCCTCCTGAGTGCTGGGGTTATAGGTGTGAGCCACACACCTGATTAAAAAGGTTAAAAACATACAAGGAGGGCTGGAGAGATGGCTCAGAGGTTAAGAGCATTGCCTGCTCTTCCAAAGGTCCTGAGTTCAATTCCCAGCAACCACATGGTGGCTCACAACCATCTGTAATGGGGTCTGGTGCCCTCTTCTGGCCTGCAGGCATACACACAGACAGAATATTGTATACATAATAAATAAATAAATATTTAAAAAAAAAACCATACAAGGAGACCAATTCCACAGACTTTATCCACATCTGTTATCAGGTTTAAAAAATTCATTAACTGACTGGTATAGTAAATACTTGAAGCTACTCAAGACAGTAAGCATTTTGCTTCGACTTGCCCAACTCACATAATGAGAGTAAATTTTCTTTGACATTTGAAAGAAGGGAAGTAAGACAATATAGGCAGATGGGTCAGCAATAAGTGCTTGCTGTACAAATGTGAAGGTGGACGTGGTGGTCTGCCTTGGTTGTGTGGCAAAGGTGATCCCAATATGATCTACATGAAACCCTCAGGCACACACCTTTAATCCCAGTGCCTGGAAAGTAGAGGTAGGCGAATCTCTGTGTGAGGCCAGCGAGGTTTACACAGGAAGTTCCAGAATAGCTGGGGTTCCAGGGAGGGAGGGAGGGAGGGAGGGAGGGACGGAAGGGGGAGAGAGAGAGAGAGAGACCCTGTCTCACACAAAACAAAACAAACAAACAAAATAAAAACCATTAAAAAAAAAAAGAAAGTAGGTAAAACTTGTTTTGTTTTCTTTTACTGACAGGGTTTGACATGTATGCACACAAGGAATCTAAAGGAAAACAGGAGCCAAGGAAGACTCTATGGAAACAATCCTGGAATTCAACTCAAGGAAAGAATCTGAAAGTTAAATTCCTACACTAACACACAGACACAGGCAGGCAGACTCCAGGCATCTTCAAACTGCCCACCAGTGCACGTGAAAGAAATGCTGTCCAATCCTATTTTAAAGGGGTAGTGTTCTATTTGAACAAGCAGAAAGAATCAGACAAAGGAGCTAATAACACTCCTGTAGCCACCACAATTCTCATGTAACCAGAGGAAAGTCCTACAGTTCCTAAAATCTGAAGGAGGAGGGAAAAGGGGACAGAATAAGGAGTCAGAAAAAATACCCCAAAATCAATACTAGCTCTAGCAGATATTCCAGAACTTGGACGCAGTGCTGATTCTCAATCATGACAGAATTATATACTAAGGATTAACAAGAAGCAGAAAACATGAAGAAGAGGACATGGAATTGTTAATTATCTTATCCTGACCACCACCAGGAGTTATCTGAGGCTGACAAAACACCTCTATTCTGCTGTTGCCACTTGAGGGGAATATGATGGTAGGTGTGATCGACAATGCTAACCATGTGGGAGAACTTGAAAGAAGACCCCATCCAGTACACTCAGAACTGTCCTATGGACCCCGCCTGCTCTCTTCAACTTTGCCACCGACCCTGCCCTCTTCCCGGCAAGGCTTCCTCCTCCGAACCGCAGCTCTAGGTCCCAAGTAGGCCACACTCGAATTCCTCGGGCAGCGGGAGCTTCGGCCCCCGAGGCCTGCCCGGAACTCCCCTCTCCCGGCCCCAACTGCTAAACCCCGCCTCCCGGACCCTCTGGACAGCGCGGCGGCGCCACCGGCCCTCCAGCTCCTACCAAAATCAGTGCCTCCATCTTGACCGCAGCTGCTGCCGACGTGGAGGCGCACAAGGTACGTCGCCGCTGATTGGCTCTGAGTCTTCACGCGGCCCCGCCCCAGGAAAGCAGCATTGGGTAAGGATAAGCCAGGCTTCGCTTCCTGACCAGTCGGCGTAGTCGCTCGTGTCCCGGACGCGAACTGTCCAGCCAGAAGGAGCGGGTGTCTGATTGTCATCTGGAATAGTCAATGAAAGGCCAGAACCTCACCATCTGAGAGGCGGGAGGATCACTGGGGGCGGCGTTGTTTCCATGGGGAACGGAGGAAGCGAGTGTTACTTTGCTATTGGTAGGAGGAGGCCACGTGATCCTGTTAGTCTCTAATCCGCACTCGCTGTAGGGGGTGCTATGGCTCTTTAGCCCTTAGTATCGGCCTTGCTGAAGAGTCCTTCCTGCCCGAACCCGGATTCTTAGCGCCTCCTTTAGGTCCTGCGGGATATCCACAGTTGCTGTCGTTCCCTTGGGTCATCCCAACAACCTTCACCGTTGAGCTAATCAGCCATAGGAAGCCATTAACTCGACGAACCAAGGTCTCCAGAATTATATCTGGATGTGCACCGTGTCACATGCACACATAACCAATAAATATTTTAATGTAATATATATGTACATATATACATATATATTAATTTCTGGGGCTTGGAAAAATGACTCATTAGTTAAGAGCTCATACTCTTCTTGTAGAAGATCTGAGTTTGTTTCCCAGCTCCCAGGTCCCACTCAGTGCTCAGCTACAGAGAATCTGCCGCCCACTTTTGGCCTGGAGGTGGAGGAGGGGATTGCACTTATATGGACAATCCCCACTACTTCTAATTTTTTTTCCAAATAAGAAATTAGGGAACTGGAGACCAGAGAGAATAGAAAGAATAAGGACCAAGGAAGAAAGAGATCTGAATGGAATATTCTGAGTGGGTAAAGGAGAGGGTTGTAGTTGGGCGTGGTGACACCACATTTAATCCCAGGACTAGGGAGCCAGAGGCAGACAGATCTTTATGAACTTGAGAACAGCCTGGTCTCCATAAAGAGTTCCAGGCCAGACAGAACTACACAGTGAGACCTTGGTTAAGAACACTGACTGGTCTTCCAGAGGCCCTGGGTTCAATTCTCAGGTGTATATGGGTACACATTTGCGTACTCGCTCAGAGAGAGAGCGACTGTGGCTTTCCAGTAGGGAAGAGCCCTTACAAAATAAGAAATACGAAAAGTTTTCTGAATGATGGGGATTTCATAATAGAAGGAGTTGTAGAAATGTGGTTCTCCCATGCCTCAGTTCCCAGCCCTAGAAAAATCCAAAACCAGTACCTTTTGAAATATTCCTTTAGAAACTTCTAAAAGTGCATGCAATTTTTTTCCTTTTATTTATTTGTTTGTTTGTTTGTTTGTTAGTGTTTTGAGACAGAGTTTCCCAGTAGCTATGGAGTCAGTCCTGAAACTCGCTCTGTAGACCAGGCTGGCCTCAAACTCACAGAGATCCGTCTGCCTCTGCCTCCTGAGTACTGGGATTAAAGACGTCCAACCACCTGGCCAGAGTTTTTCTTGTAATTTCAGAATGCAGCTGAGAAAAAAATTCAATATAAAACGAATTACATAGTTAATATATGCTAAGAAAGGAAGTAATGATATTTGTGGTGAAGTCTCACTTGATAAGGTTTTGTCTAAACAAGACAAAAATGTGGTGGTTTTGTGTGTGTGTGTGTGTGTGCGCGCGCGCACGCGCGCTTTGTTTGTTTTTGAGACAGGGTTTCTATGTTTAACAGCCCTAGTTGTCTTGGAACTCTCTTTGTAAACCAGGCTGGCCTCAAATTCACAGAGATCCACCTGCCTCTGCCTCCTGAGTGTTGGTTTTAAAAGCGTGTGCCACCATGCCCAACTTGGTTTTTACAGGGTCTCAGTAAGTAGCCCTTACTGACAGAATTTCACCTTCTTCTGCCTCCCAAGGGTTGGGATCACAGGTGTGTGTCATTACACCTTCACACTCAGCTAAGTTTGGCTTTTTCTACTGATGGACAGTTATCTAATCTGAACACTAGCCTGTTGTGGATTATTAATTTAAAATGTGTTATATTCATTTATAGTGTGGAATCTTTGTTTAATGATGCAAAGATGTGTTGCATCCTTCCATGTTACATTTGTTTAACTCGGTAAAGCTGTGTTACTTTCTTTGCCTAAAATATGTGACCTGTCTAATATAGAGATGAATGGTCAATAAGTAGGCAGGAGAGAGAAATAGGTGGGGCTTGCATGCACAGAGAAATCTAGGGACAGCTGAGGAACAAAAAAAGGGGGACAGGAGGATACCAGGAACAAGTCACCCAGCCACACAGTCAGCCATGGGGTGTAGTACAAATAATAAAAACCCAGAGACAGAAGTTTGGGTTCAATCTGAAGGTCAGAAAAACAAAAAAGCCAGTCACTGGCTCTTAGCTCTACCTCAGTCTGAAATGATGATCCTGCCTCCAGGAGTCTCAGAACGAGACTGTGTCTGTGAGCTGTCTCCTCCCATTTTATAATCCTCTCTAGGCCTGGGATTAAAGGCTGAACCCCTGGGATTAAAGGCAAGCACCACCTGGTTTCTATGGCAAACTAGTGTGGCTACTGGGATTAAAGGTGTGCGTCACCACTGTCTGGTCTGTACAGTTGTCCAGTGCAGCTGTTTTACTCTCTGATCTTCAAGTGAACTTTATTTATTAAAATGCAAATTAAATATCACTACTACTAGGAAAGAAAGATATATACAATAATGGTAAAAAGCCTAGAGGCAAAACATAGTTAAAGAGAAATTGGGCTGTGGAATAATACTTCTGCATACTGTGAATGGGTTGCTCTCATAGTTAATAAACAGCTGATTGGCAAGTGGCTAGGCAGGGTTTTCAGGGCAGAGAGCATGCTGGAGAGAAGGGAGGAGACACCGTGAGACATAGACTGAGCAGGATGGGAAGGACATACATGAAGTAAATGAGCCTTGGGGCAGCTCATAGATGAATAGAAATGGGTTAATTTGGGTTAGAAGAATTAGCTAAAAGCAAGCCTAAGCTATCAGCCAAGCATTTATAATTAATATTAAGTCTCATTGGGGAAGTGCTCACGGGAATGTAGCAAAACTCTGCCTACAAAATAGGATAATTTAAGGTAGAAAAGCTGGATAGAAACAAGCCAAGTTAATAACAGGCATTCGTAAGTAAGAATAAGTCTCTGTGTATTTATTTGGGAGCTTGGTGGCAGACCCTCAAGGAGTAAAAAAAACAAACTATTATTCTTATTATTCCATTGTTCTATTATTATTGTTATTATATGGATTTTTGCTTAAATGCATGCTCATCTTATGTCAACTTGACACAAGCTAGAGTTATCTAAAATGAGAAAACCTCAGCAAATTGAGAAAAATGCCAGGGTCTGGAGAGATGGCTCAGTGGTTAAGAACACTGCCTGCTCTTCCAGGGGTCCTGAGTTCAATTCCCAGCAACCACATGGTGGCTCACAACCATCTGTAATGAGGTGCCTTCTTCTGGCCTGCAGGATATTGTATACATAATATATAAATAAATATTAAAAAAATTGTGAAAGGGGAAAAGAGAAAAAAGGAAGAAAGAAAACGTGAAGAAAGCCAGGAGTGATAGTGTCTCCCATAATCCTAGTACGCAGGATGCTGAGGCAGGAGGATCAAAACTTTAATGCTGTTCCTCTCCGAAAGGAAACAAAATTTAAAAAAATACTGTTGAGGAATTGATTTCATAGTACAGAAGATTCAAATAAAGAAATTTGAAAGATCCAGGTGTTGGCATTGGTGTGAAGACCTAAAATCTCAGTACTTAGAGGAGCATTCAAAGCTCAACGCCAGCCTAGTCTTTGTATTCAGAGCTATATAGCCACCTTGGAAGGGGGGTGATTTAGCTCAGTGTAGAGTACTTACCTAGCAAGGGCAAGGCTAGATCCCTAGATGATGACAGATAGGTAATAGGTAGGTAGGTAGGTAAACAGATAATAGATAGATAGATAGATAGATAGATAGATAGATAGATAGATAGATAGGCAGGCAGACAGACAGATATAGACAGATAGAAAGACAGACAGGTAGAAAGGAGAGACAAGAGAGGCAGATGTGTATGAATATGATCAAAAGTACATTACAGGGAGCCAAAGAGAAATACACACAAAAAACACACATAAATCTTTTTTTTTTAAAACTAGACGGTGGTGGTGTATACCTTTAATCCCAGTACTTGGGAGGCAGAGGCAGATGAGTCTCTGTGAATTTAAGGCCAGCCTAGTCTATAAAGTGAGTTCCAGGACATCCAGGGCTACACAGAGAAACCTTGTCTCAAGAAACAAACAACAAAAACCCCAAAACAATCACACACACACAAACACACACATACACACATACAATTGTGTTAACATTTGTGATAATTAGTTATACTTGTATAATAAAATTTAGAAACTAAGCAATAAGGAGGAAAGAAGGGAAGCCTGATGACCCAAATTCTATCCTCTGGTCCCATGGAGTAGGAGGGCCTTCTGTCTATGTGTTACTTTCATTGGTCAAATAAAGAAACTGCCTTGGCCTTTTGATAGGACAGCAGCTTAGATAGGCAGAGTAGACTGAACAGAATGCTGGGAGAAATAAAGCAGAGTCAGGCAGACGCCATGGCTCTCCTCTCCGAGATGGACGTAGGTTAGACTCATCCCAGTAAGCCACAGTCACATGGTGATATACAGATTATTAGAAATGGGTTAATTAAGATGTGAAAGTTAGCCAAGAAGAGGCTAGAAATAATGGGCTAGGCAGTGTTTAAATGAATACAATTTGTGTATTGTTATTTTGGGTGAAAACTAGCCTGGCGGTTGGGCACCAGGAATGCAGCCCACTGCTCCCTCTTAGTACAGTCCCACGTAATGGAAGGAAAGAACCAACTCTTGAAAGTTGTCTTCTAAATTCCACATGTACACACATACACATGCATGCATGCACATAATAAAGTAAACTGGGTGTAGTGACTCATGCCTTTGCTCCCAGCACTCGAGAGTTCAAGGCCAGCCTGGTCTACATAATGTGTTCCAGGGCATCCAGAGAACATACTAGTAAGAACTTTG